CTTACCCAGAAGAGAGAAAATCGTGAGGTTAGAGCTTGAGAAAGCAGATTCGAGTCACAGAGTGATCGAATCAGAGGCTTCCTCGCTTTGTATCTTCGGGTTGTTGTCTCCGGCAATTGCTCTGAATCGCGAAGCTCTGTTTTCGCGGTGGTTCTCGGTGGTTCTTCAGTGAAGACGGAAGTTCAGCTTCGGTGAAGAAGCTAGCTGTTTCCGCTACAAGCTTTCAGATAAGAAACAGTCAATTGAGAAAGGTTAACACAGGTTTAAATCAATTGATCAAAGAGAGATCAATAACTCTCTGTTTCTTATATATAACATCTTTACCTGATAGTGAAAGCTTGGTGGTTTTGATCCACCCCCAGAGAGTAGATCCGCGAACTCTGGGTTAACAATTCGTGTGTTGAATTTTGGTTTCTGCTTTGCGATTTGAAAACTCGTACAAACAAACAAGAATTCGATCAGGTCAATCTTATGCAAATCACTGAAATTATAAATTGAGCTTAACACCTTTAGATAGAAAAACCACACCGTTCACTTGGGAGAGTTTCTTCGAAAGTTGATTTACAACAGTTAAGCTAAATTTTGTGTGTCTTCTCCATCCACAAGGCAAAGTTCCAGAATCAGCAACGCTCAGAAACAGAGTCAAATTACCAGGCGAATTACGTCCCTTGGAAGACACCTGCGAAACAAAAACAATTAAAAATAATCGTAAACCTAAAACTGGACTAAAACATTTAGAATTTTTTTTTTTTGTTTAAACAATTTCTTACCATCTGCAGCCACCGATAACGAATGGATCAGAGTAGATTTGCTGATATTGCAAAGGTGAGAAATTCTTAATGACCCAAGTAAACTTTTTATCAACTTGATTCTCCATTGAAGACAAATTTAAGACGAGAAGTGAAACCCTAAAAACCAGAGTGGGAATGTCGCACATCAAAAAATAATCTCCGATTTATATATATAGGTTTGTGTTGCTGGTCCTAGTTACTTCTGGGCCCAATTTTTCACTGTGGACCCAATGTGCCCAAGATCTGCTTCATTACCGCCACCGAACTTTGTCGATGTTTGATCCGCAATGTGAACGGGTATATACTTCGAAAAGAAAAAGAAAATCCAAATCGTGACTTCCTTCGAATTATAATCTAAAGTATATAATAAATAATGTTATAGAAATAATTACATATGTGAGTCCATGGTTCGACCTATTCAGACCGTTTTTTTTATATATATTTTCCAACTTTTTTGATAACAAAAGTTATCAACTTATTAATAGTCTATTGATCAGTCAATACAATTTTTTTTTTTTTGAAAATTATCAATACAAAATTATTGACTCAATTATATTACAAAATAACAATACAAAACTGTATAGAACAAATTACTTTTTTGCCTTCATATTACGAAATCTTATTATACAAAGGAGAATACGCGCGATGAGAGTTTGACACGTAGGCAAAATTCTTAAACACTAGATCGTGACATGTGTAATTGTTAATTTAGATTGTGGCATGTGTCAATATTAACAAAAATATTTAAAAAAAAAATAAGGAACATATTCTAAACAAAGATTATTGATTAATTAAGAAAAAAAACAACAAAAATTGTTCTGCTAAACTATGTAATCTTTCTAATATTAAAAAAAATAATTAAAAAAAAAAGATATCATAAATAAAGATTACATACTAATTAAGAAAAAGAAAAAAACACCGTTCTACTAAAATAGATGAGATTTCTATATTTTTATATTACAAAATGCATTCTTTCCATTATAAATTTTTATCTAAATAGTTAAAGACAAAAAAATGTCATATTGATAAGTGTGATTTTGT